AATCCGACTATCTCGATGCGTTTGAGGCCAAAAAGGTTTGTTGGGTTTTGCTGTTCTAATGAATACTTAAACCCTTTGCTCGTATTCTATTCTGAAGATTATCATCTGGTTGGTTTTTGCAGGACTTGTTCTGAAGTAGTGTGTTTTGGTGACTTTCACATACAGCGATTCTCATCCCTTTTCATCTTTTTAAGAGGGCAACTAAAAATTTTGAGAGGCTTCTTCCTTTCAGAGAGGTTTTATTTTAACTTGTGAGATATATTTAGAGTTTTGTGGTATTTTGAGAGGTTTTTTCTGGGTTAATCTACTCAGATGACCAACGCTCTGAAACAACTCACAAAACCTGGGAACCAGATGAATTTCCCCAAAATGTTAAAACAAAAGCATCGTGCCGTTCCTCCTCGTACGAAGCCCCTAGTGTCCAGAAAAGTGCGTATTTTTTATAACGATCCTGAGGCCACAGATTCATCTTCAAGTGAAGATGAAGATGGGTGGGAAAGTAGAAAGTTGAAAAGGGTAAAACGATGTGTTCAAGAGCTCACTCTACCTCCAGTTGCTGAGAAGCTCAAACTTATTGAAACTGACGGCTCTAATCGTAACTTTAATGGCAAGGGAGGTACAGATTGTGAACCAGTTAAACCCACTCCACGGAAGAGACGCGCCTCTTCGCAATACAGAGGCGTCCGACTCAGAAACTCAGGCAAATGGGCTGCGGAGATTCGTCATCCTATCAAGGGTCGTAAATGGTTGGGTACTTTTGATACCCCAGAGGAGGCCTCTCAAGCCTATGAAGCCAAAAGAAGAGAGTTTGAAGCCATGGATTTCTCTAAGAAGAACCTTCCTTCTGTTACTGTTTCTTCATATTCGTCTTCTGCGGAAGACTCATGCAGTGTTATTTCTCAGTCATCACCACCCTCTGTTCTTGAAGTCTATACTTCCATTGGGAATGGTCGTATTTCAACAAAAGAATTCGATCATTTTGAGTCTGCGCTTGCAGCTTTGCAGATGCCGGATTCGGTTTTGTCGACTTCATCACCTTCGTCTTTGAATTCATCAGAGGATTATGAGTCCTCAGGAAATGAAGCCAGTGATCTGGAGCAGCAAGGATTTTGGGGAAACACACGATTTGAGAGCAGCAAAGATTCAAGCAAAGGCGGGAATGATCTGGCGTCGGAACTTGAAGCGAGTATGGAAATACACGATTTGAGTTTGGCTGAAGTGGCAATTCCGGTATGTTCAGAGCCTGATGGGTTTGATTTGGATTGTTTAATGGTGAATGATTGGGAACAGGGATTTGAAGATGACGATGATCTTTCTGGGTTGCTGGGTAATGGAATTGGCGGGTTTAATGACGACGGGCCTTGTGAGCTTCCAGATTTCGATTTTGGTGCAGATGATGAGTTTGCTGGTTGGATTGAGGAATCCCTCAATATTCCATGTGCATGAGTGTTGCAGATAAAATGGAAATAATTGAGTTTCTGTATGTCTGAAAAATTTTGCTTTTGTTCTCCTGAGAATGATTTGTGTTTGTTTCATTAAAATTTGTCAGGAGAGAGGCTTTTCGAATCCTTTGGGTTTTCCTGTGCTATTTGAGCCGTCCAAGGGGTTCTCAAGCTTTCTGTGCTCTCAGTTTCGTGTTAATTCCCACTTAACCGCAAGCTTCTTTTTTTTTAAAAAAAAAACCTTCATGTGCCATATTAAACTGGAACCAAATCATAATTTTAGAAGTAAAAAAATTTGTCTTGATTTACAATATCCAAACACTCCTTGAATAATAAGTCTTTTTTGTATGAGCGTTTTCTTTTGTGTTTTGATCAGCTAGTCCATGTAGAGGTTCGAGAGCAGGATATATGAAAAGAAAGCATTTATTTTTTCAAAAAATGATGTAATATATATTTTTGAAATATATAATGATATAGTAAAAGGAATGAAATTAGAGTTAGAAATATGTGTATAAATCGTCGGTATATCTGAAAAGATAAATGTGGGACGTACTTTGGGAGTCCCATATGGAGCAAAGCTAGCTGGATCCCACTGCGATTGGGTCACCCTGTCAGCGACTTGTTGATATTCCGGTTTCAGCCAAACTAAAAGGTACTGCATGGTCCCATTTTTAATCATGCTCTCATCCCATTGATCCTATTTTTATATACTATGTGTATGCTACCTCCGTTACTAATTACTCTTCCTGTTTTAAATATAAAACTCTTAAACACTATATAGATCTTACATTTAGGATCAGAAAAGTATAATTATAAGATCTTGTTTATAATCTTAAAATCAGAGGTAGTATAATATTAATATTAATGGTCCGCGAAGATGAGTTTTTTTCCGTTCATTATATTTTTTTGGCCAGCCAGAAAGATGAGATTTTGAAATAGTTATGACCTTGACTATTAGATATGATATATATATATATATAAGATACTTGTGAATTCAAAATTACTCGATCCTGTAACCATAAGATTGAATTTACTCCGACCCAAACAGATTCAAATTCATGAAGATATTGGAGTGAATAAAGAATAATAATAATAAGGTTAAGTTGGATCAGGTGACACTCATTATTTTAAATTAATTTTTTGTGCATCCATTACTTTAAATATTTTTTTAGTAACACCTAATATTTTAAAATAATTTATTGACACAATGTTGTCTTCTTTTTTTCCCCTGTTACAACAAAGTATCCTAACCTTAGCATCCATGCATTAATTGAAAAATATTTTAAAACGTAGAATGTATCAAAAATTAAAAATTATCTTAAGATATTGACCATAGTACTATTTGAGAAAATAATTCTAGACTTTGGATGTTGTATAGTCCATGAAAATACTATTGGGAAGGATGAGGATGGGGATGAATCGAGTGGAGAGTACGTAAAACGGGACCCGACCCGAACTGACCGAAGCACAAAGAAATGAGAGTATTTTTGGCGTGATGGGGGGGGGGGTCCGAACGTTGATAGGATCTCATTGATCTTGGACAGGGGGGCTGCATCTATTGGGCCTACCAGCACACACGTGTTATTTTAATCATACTTTGTTTGGGTCATAATCAACGTTCATTCAATTAAATTGATTAGGGTTAATTTATGTGGTTTGCCTGGGCTGACTTTTGTCTCTACTGGCTGCATATCTTTGTCATCCTTGTTTCCCACAATTTAACAATGACATATATTCTCGCGTGTTTATTTGTATTTCCTTTCTTTTTGTTATTTGTTTATTCAAATAAATAATTCATAACTGATTATGATGTGTCTACCAGTGAACTAAAAGGTGAAGGGCAATTTCTTGCTTTGCCTCCACGTTAAGGTGATGGACCAATTCCCATAATTTTTCTCCTCTCACTGAATTAAGAAGTCTCATTTGCACTCAGTTTTGCTTCTTAAAATATTCGTCTGTTCATTCGATTGAAGGGCAAAAATTTACGCCAACTTTTCTGGGGATTTTATTTGAAGTTGAGTAATTAGGAATAATCCCTTAATTAAAAAACTTGAGAATAAGTTGATCACTGTAATTAATTAAAGAGCAAAAGAAAAAAAGAAAAGAAAATAAGTGACAGGTTTTGGATGGAATTTAAGGAAGGACCCAACGAAGGACGAAGGCGGTGCCAAGCTGGAGTGCAGTAGATGGAGGGCGGGAAACCATGTGATGTTAATAATAATAATAATAATGGGGACTGGTCTCATCTCGTGACTGTGTTTCATCCCTCATTAGCTTCAGTGGGTCCCCTCCGACTTCTATCCAGGCGACTGTTTCATCCACATCATCATCGCCCCTTCAATCTTTGACCGTTTGACTCTTCTATCCCCCTTCACTGCTGGTTTATTTGCAGCACTATAACTTGATTAATATAAATTCATCATCTGCAACAAGGCTCATCACATTAACTAGGATTAGCTTACCGCGTTGCTGTACCTTATAAAATAAATTCTTAATTCAAAGATCACGCTTAATAATTTCACTAAATGTTATATTCAGTCTTTTTCTATTGCTTTCCAAAAGATTTCATATTGCTTTGATTTACTCTCCTTATCAGTGCATTTAATAGTTTTCTTTGCATATGTCTGAAGCACCTTGATAGAAAATAGTAAGGTCATCACTTCATAAATAACGCAAAGTAAATTAATACCTCCGATCTTAAATATAAAACCTAATATACAAACTAGGTCTTAATTATATCTAGCTATTGGAGCTCACAAACATAATATTCTTCCCGTCATTGTTGAATGTAAGAGCAAAATAAATGGAAAAACGGTGGAAACACAGAACATTCTATTTCCACCACACATATAAGTAGTAAGTGGGGCTTTCTGTTGACACTTTGCCATTTTCAAACGGGGTAGAAAAGCCTTTTTCCTCTTTTTTCAATACTTTGGGCTATTTAAGACTTTTCCATCTCTTTTGTTGCGTCAACCATCAATGACTTAACTATGGTATTAGCCTCCACCAATTTTGTCCTTAGCTGCAAACTGTGCTTGCATTTGGATACATATATCAGATTCAAAGCATCAGATTCTTTTTTCTCCATTATGAGCTTGTGGTCTTCAGCCTGAAAACACGCTTGTAGAATTAATAATGAACTAGTGCTGTTACGTTGGCTATCAACTTATATTTGTTTTACTCGTAATAAAGCAAGTTGCTTTTCATCAAAGAATAGCCGTAGCTTGCAATCTTCATGACACAACAAAATCATGACTATTCCAATTCATACAATCCTTTCCAAATACTGCTACGTTCTTTCAAGCAATCTTCTACCCCCATAACCTTGATGAATCTTGGGCCTGAATTACCCTGGGGATTGGAGAACCCATTGGTATAAACCAGAGACAGCCCAACACAGAGCCCGACAATTCCAAGCATTTGGTTTGGCATGATAACATTAAAGCATAAATAAAATAGAGTTTATCCTCGCAGTCTGTATGGAAGGAGTTTCGTGACTAACACTAAAACCCTTTGGAAAGTTTATGATGTGAAGAGATTAGTCACTACTACCAGCAATGGATATCTTGAACTCAACTAAAAAAAATATAACATCAATAGCCTTACAGCCTGGCAGCATGTGAGCAAAATACCACAGGTTCAATCTTGTTCATAATCTCAGATTACTAGTGTTTGCTCCTTTAATTCAAAGGAATAAAATTTAACACACAGGATGATGGATCAGTCTTTTTCGACCAAGCCTAGGTACTCCATTACAACGGTTTATTTAGTGGGTTATTGAATGAAGCAGATTTCTCATCACATGAATATGAAAGGTAATTGAATCAAAGGAGATATTTATTTGCTACGAATTATTGCATACGATGACTTTCATAGGAAGCCCTTCTCCTGGAAGCTCTTGATGCAGTCATCAAACATTTGTTCAAGGGTTTTGAATGGAGGAAACCCTAATTCAGCAATTTTGGTGGTATCCATGCTGTGTGGGTTGTTATCTCCTTCCCGGCTGCCACACCTACAAATTTCATTATTGGAATTTACTTCAGCAGGCAAGCCAAAAACTAGCATAACTCCAAATTATCAGAGAACTGTCCGTGTTCTCCAATCAAATCTTAATATGGCTCAGAGTTATATCCATATGCTGTAAAATAGCTCGATTTGACTCACTTGTTTTCAAATGGGTAGGAAGGATATTTAGCCCGAAGCATTTCGATGATCTCTGACCAGTGAGCTACGGTGCTGGAACAAATAAGCCTGCAGCCGGATGCTCTGGGTTCAGCCATAGCCAACAGATGAGCTGCTATCACATCATCTATATGCACAAACCCTACTGCTGTGTTTGGATATTCTCCATTTAAACCTACTTGAATGAAGGACTGGGCACATTAAGTATGAAGTGCAGATCAACTTGCTAAAACCAAAAAGAAAATACCCATTTAGTCCTATTTATGAGATATTTCCAACATGTTTTTAGAACTAAGAAAAGTCTCAAACCTTATTAACTCGGTCTTCAAATTTAAAAACTTTCTAGCTTTATCCGTATTTAATGCATTCTTTATATCTTAGTGGCTTGTTTATATGAATAATAAATTCCGGGTACAGTTATATATTTCATGTGAAAAATTTAATAATTTGACTTATAAACAGGACAGAAACACACCCTCTCTACCTTATACATAGAACTAGGGAAGGATCAAACGTGAGAAGCTAACCCTTGACAACGCTTAGAATGGCCATGAGGGTACTGGTTGGTTGTGGTGCAAGCAGAGGACCAACAACAAAAGATGGGTTAACCACTACCAGATCCAACCCACTTTCTTTCGCCATCCTCCATGCTTCTTTCTCTGCCATAGTCTTTGAATATGCATACCATAGCTGCATATCAGTGACAGATTCATCTAATTAACGGAATTGCAATATATACAAGCAAATATGAGAATCTTAAATACCAAATATGTTAGATCGTACATCAAATAGTTGATTAAATAAAAAAAGAAATAACAAGTGTTACATTGTAGCGTTTGCAGTACTCAGGATCACTCCAATGTGACTCGTTAAGAGTAGTCAGTTCTTGTTGTTGAACATCATTGCGATATCTGATGGAAGAGCAAGAAGAGGTGAGAACCACCCGTTTCACTCGTGCTTCTATGCAGGAGTTAAGCACATTCACAGTGCCCTTTACGGCCGGATCAATTAAAGCTGTCTGAAACATATTTTAAAAGTATCAACAATACGCACTGATGCTAGGACCAAAATGTATCAGCCAAAAAGGGGTCAAACAAAGCTTTCTCTATTACTGTGATCCATTGAATCTCAGCTACTAGAGTGTAACGAAGGGTCTCACGTTGGAAGTCTCTCAGTGATCCATTCTGATTTAGATATTGTCAGATATATATGAATGAATGTGTATTTCAAAAGGAATGAATTAGTTTGACTATATGAAAATGTCATCCACAATCACATTCCATATTCGTATGGTTTTGAACCATTTGTAATTTTAATCAAACTGGGCCTTAATCAATCATATTAACATAGGACACACTCTCCTTCCTCTAGTTTCTTTTTGGGTCAGAGTATTTTAGTGAGAAGGTTCTGCTCATTGACTGATTCGTGAAGGATCATCCTCAAACTTAACTATATTCCACTTAAGAGAATGCACAGAATTGTTGAAGTTAGTTGAATAGAGTAACAGTAAAATAAATGTTAAGAAAGAAGGTAAAAATTGGGAAAGACAGACCTGAACATTATCATCGTGGGTCAGAGATAGTGGGAGTGGGGAAGCAGTGTGGAAGACACCATCAACCCCTTTCACAGCCTCATGGAAACTGCCTTCATCCAATAAATCAGCTTTGAAGATGCTAAGCCTCTCTTTGGCGCCACTCAGATCCGACAGAAATCCATGCTTGCCCAAATCATCTGGTGGGATTAAACAAAAACAGAAGAAAAAAGAAAAGGCACAGTACTGCTTCAAATTTCAACAAATAAGAGATATTAATACTTAAGAAGAAGTAAATACCAGGGTTTCGGACAGTGGTTCTAACAGAGTGACCATGGAGAAGCAAAGCCTTAATCAGGTAAGCTGCAATAAAGCCAGAACCCCCTGTGACGCAGTAGTCCGGCATATCTCTCTCTCTCTCTCTCCCTCCCTCCCTCCCTCTCTCTAAGTCCCCGCAACTTTCCTCACGGCTCTTGAGAGTTCTTCCCAATAGGCTGCTGGCTATGTGATTTGTCAAATCTTTATCGTCTTATTAATTATTTTATTCCTCGGCCGCGGTCGCTGCAGAAGTGGGGAACGCAAACAGTGCAAAGTACGAGAAAATGGCAGAATGCAAATGGAGCCTTTTATTTACTTGTTTTGTATTGATATATTTTAAAATGAATTTAAGACCAGAAGTTCTTAATCTGAATTTACACAATAATTTTTAGCAAAATCGCAACAACAAAAAAACATAAAAAATGTGAAATTACAACTCATGTATTTTGTCAAAAATGTGTCGTTATTTACAATCCAATTGTTATCAAAACCTACGCAATTGTTATAACAGGTGATTTTTTCAAATTTTTTTTCCTGATTTTTCCTAATTCTTATTGATGGCCGGAATAATTTGAAATTTTTAGGCAAAAAAATAATTTGAAATTCGGATAATTAGCAGCAACAAAAAGAGTGGCCTTAAACAGAAAATAAAGTTAAAAAGAAAAGAGAATTCCCTTTTTTGCCCCCAAAAAAGAAAAATAGAATTCAAATATCGTTAAAAAAAACTACTCCAAAGTACAATAGCTTCGATTTATTAAACAAAATTGATTTCTAAAAGCACATACTTAACTTTAACGGAAAATTACCCATAAATCTTAGGTAATAAAATTAAATACATACAGATCCTCTAAATTTAATTTAATACTAATCGGTTTCAAGATATTTAATATAATTGAGACTTATGAGAATTAAATAAAATTTAAAAATTTTATTTGGATTTAATGTGTTTACCAACTTTAATTTGAATGTATTGAGAGTACAAAAGAAAATTCAGGTCCTTGAACGTTGCTTTCTTTATTTGTCATTTTGTAGTGATATTGTGACAAAATTAATATTAATATTAATTGTAATTTCTAACAAAAAAATCTCATAAAAGAAATAAAAAAAGAAAAGCGAAATTAGTCGGGCAGCTGAAATGCAAGTGGGCTGATAGGTCATGGGCTTTTCTTGCCCAGGGTGGGCCGATCATACGAACCGTTATATCCCCCTGGGAATGCCCATTTTTATAACCCGCAAACAGAGTTGTCAAAAGAAAAGACCCAGAAGGAAAAGGTGCTTCACTTAATAAAGGTTTGGTCCACAGAGCACAGGTTTATGGGCAACTTTTCAATTTTCATATATGTTTGTGTGTTGGGTCGGGATCCAAACTTCAGTGCTCGAATCGGGTCTTGCTACCCAACTGATATCAATCAACTTCTTTAAGGGCTGTTTCGTTTGGGGGAGGGAGAGGGGAGGTTTTATTCTCATCTTATTTGATTTGATTAAAATGGAAGGAAGGGGAGGGTATTTAATGATCCCTTGTTTGGTTCAAGGAGAGGAGGGGAGGGATAGTAATAATCAATTTACCATTTTATCCTTATATATTAGTTTATGTTTTTTATTGATATATTATATTAATTAATTTACATCTTAATTTAAATTATATAATTTAATAAAAATTCAGTCTTATCATGTTAATATGTGTATTAAAAAATTGGTACAGTAATTTTTTATTCTAATTAATATAATAATATATTTAAAATAATCAAATTAACAAATTTATATGCTCTAAGAAAAATGAAATTTTATTCTCTTTAGGCTATCTTTTTTTCCAGCTTTAAAATGTATTTAATAAATAATATATTTATAAAAAACAATTAATTTTATAATATTATAATTTTTTATTTAAATAATTTTTTATTTTTAAATAATTTTTTATAATATTTTTTTAATTATAATAATGTATTTATTTTTTATTTTTTTACTTAGGATGATATATTTTTTATTTGAAATAAATATTATAATAATATATATTTATGGATAGAAGTGGAATATTAAAAAGTCTATAAGGGCATAATGGTCCAAAAATTTGACTCCCCTCCAAAAACCCCTAATTTGGAGGGGAGTCAAAATGGGGGGAGGGAGGAGGGAGGGGACATTTTAGCTCTCCTCTCTTTCAAAATTTTTAACCAAATGAGGGGAGGGGCTCATTTCCCCTCCCCTCCCCTCCCCTCCAACCAAACAAACCCTAAAGCTTTTCTTTGAGCATGAGACTGTGAATGGAACAATAAATAAGGGGTTTAACGGACCAATAGGTTAGGTATAGTAGGAGAGGTTAGTCTTCCACAAGATAGTGAATGAAGGTTCGCATCTCTGCTAAAAAAAATACTCACATTTAGTACCCGACAATGTCTTAAATAGGATTACCTCCTATTTCTATAAGAGGATATTTGTACCTAAAAAAAAAGAGGGTTTAATGGGTGCTTGACTTATGATGATGATAAAATACCATGCAGCCCCCAAAACTTAAAATACAACTTATAATCTGGTCCCGGCCTATTTCGGGCGAGATCCATCCCTCAAAAATTGCCTCGGACTGCTCTGCAGGATATATTTATCCATCATCTTAATTATCAATAAAAGTCGCTTCCCACGTGGCACATGTACATGGATTCCCAAAATCCGACTTTACATTTTGATGGCTATGTATTTTTAATCCTCATGTATAGATTATTTTGTTGATTGGGATTAGCTAAAAAAGTGGTTATGTTATACATCTGGTACTTAATATAAAAGTTTTGTATAAAAAAAAACTAATTGATTAATTTGAGTAAATTAAGAAAATTAGTTAAGTTAGTTATTTGTAACAAATATGTGTATTGCTCTTCTTAAAATATCTTTACTAATCAAGTATATTGACTAAAACTATTACTACTACAAGAATTACCTCGAAAAAAACGGATAAATATGAGAAATAAAATAGACTAGGATCTTATATTTATGATCAAAATAAAAATCAAACAAACTCTTATATTAAGGACTGGATGTAGTATATCATTAAGTGGAGGGCTTTTTTTGGTCCATAGTACCCCCTCCAGTTCAAAATATAAGTTAAACTTTACTGGAGGGCTTGGTATTTTTGTAAAATAATATTTACTTTTGACAAAGTATTTAATAAGTTTTTTTTAATTTTATTCCCATATATTCTCTTTCCTCTTGAATTCATTTATTAGACCTTTTACTTATTCTCTTCATTAATAAGAACATATTTGAAAAAATATATATGCCTTACATATTTATTGTTTTGAACTAATTTTAACTAATTTCTTAATAAATATAAATAGTAGGGCTGAGCAATGGGCCGGCTGGGCTAACCCGAAGGTTAGCCCATAGCCCGCCCATTTATTCATAAATGGGTATGGGCTAACCCATAACCCGGTAGTAGCTCATTTAGCCCATATTAAATGGGCTACGGGGCAGCCTGTTTGGGCTGACCGGGTTATGGGGTAACCCATTTATTTTTTTAAATTTTTTTCAGTATAATTATTTTATATATGTAACCTTATGAAGCTGTCAATAAATTTTGTATGCCAAATAGCAAATCAAATATGAAATAACATTAACCATATTCAATCATACAACCTCACTTAGATTCGCAAACAATTAAAGTCTGATAAAATCATAAAAATAGTCACCAATCATAAAGTCTCATAAACTTTAAAAGTTCCAACTTTTACCTAAAGGATAAAATAAAAACTTAGACAAGTATGAAGGTTTGATAAAATATGAATGAGAAACAATATCATCAATTAAATGAAGAATAAAAATATTTTAAAAAACTTAAAACTTAAATGGGCGGGTATGGGCAGCCCAATACCTTGCCCATAGCCCAACCCGTTTAATGGGCTACCCCGCCCATTTAAGCCCGCCCGTTTATAATCTCTTATTTGGACTAATTGGGCGGGCTTAAATGGGCAAAAAATTCATGGGTTATGGGCGGGCTAGCGGGTAATGGGTTTATTGCTCACCCCTAATAAATAGATAAAATTTAACTTATGTTTTGAATTGGAAGGAGTATTGTTTTGTGTGCGGGTGTTTTGTTGTTGTCCACAACATAGGCCTAACAACGTTGTCGACTCCTCAACTACTAATTCCCCAGCAGAAAGAAACCATATCGTATTTAAAATATTGTTAACATTTAAGGTTTAGGAAGTTAGTTGGCTAGTGGTAGGTTCAACTCTCCCTAATTAATCCTCACTCACTCATCAAATGATATCTATGGCAAGTAATGGGCCCATCTAAAACCAAAAGCATATTCGTATGTAACATAACAAAAATGCATCCAAATATCGATGAACTGCAAATTACAATCACAACTTTGCGGGGATCAAAATTTCGTATGTACCCGAAGAGATAATTTGTGGAGAGTTTATAGTAATTAAAATTGTGTCTTGATAATTTATTAATTAATTTTTTTGGAAAAGATAATTTATTAATTAAATTGTTAAAATATTATATAGAGGTGTGTATTATCCATGAAGCACAAATGGGATATCAAGTTATGTTAGTTGATGTATAATCAACCAACAAAGAGCTGATTTAGTGATGCAGGGTCCCGTTAGATTTCTCTAAAAGTCTCGAGTAGATACCTAGATACTACCTCCGGTCCTAATTATAAGAGCCAGTTGACTAATTTGAAGAGATTAAGGAAGTAAGTTGAGTTAATTATTTGTCCTAAATAGGTGTTGTCTTTCCTAAAATATCCTTGCTAATCAAGTGTATTGACTATAACTATCATTGTTAGAAGGGTTACTTTGAGAAAAAATGTATAAATATGAGAGACAAAGTGGATTGGGGTCTTATATTTAGGACCAAAATAAAAGTCAAACAGGATCTTATATTAAGGACCGGAGGTAGTATTTGATAATGGAATCCAACAAAAGCGTTGGATACCGGATGATAATACCTCCTTCTGGTTCTTATTATACACTTCAAATAATTAATTCACGAATAACAAATAATTAGTTAAAATTAATTAAAAATAATAAATAGGTTAGAATTATACTTTTGTTTTCAAACATGTCCTTATAATAGTAAATGAGAAAAAAGATGAGAGAGAATGTGTGAAAAATGTGACAACAGATAAATAATTAAGGGCAATATTAAAAAAATACAT